GTGATGACGAACAGATGTCTTGAATGATCAATCATTCATGCACAACATTATTATGTACCATTTTATGCAAAAACATCTGAGCGTAATACCCCCGTCACACCGGAGGCGCGGTGCCACTACGGTTTCTGGTCAAAACCGCCATCTCCGTAGTGACACCAGCAGTAGTTTTTCATAGTTTTCCCCTACCCGTCAATACCCCCGTCACACCGGAGGTGCAGTGCCACTGCGGTGCTTGTACGGCATAAACCGCAGTGGCACCGCCATGATCGCCGTGGTTCCGCAGTGGTTCCGTCATTGATCGCCGTAGCACCGCGGAAAAGTGTCAAAACCGCGGACCTTCGCGATTGCACGGCGGTTGTACTGCGGAGGCACGGCGGTGATAGAGGTCCTACTGCGGTCCTTGTACGGTGCCACGGCGGTCATGGCGGTGCCGCGGCGATCCCACTGCGGATTGGCCTAACCCGCGGTGGCACTGCGGAAGTTTTGAACATGTTCAAAGTTTACGCCGTGCCACCGCGAAGGTCCGCGGTTTTGACAGTTTTCCGCGGTGCTACGGCGATCAATGACGGAACCACTGCGGAACCATGGCGGTGCCACTGCGGTTTATGCCGTACAAGCACCGCAGTGGCACCGCACCTCCGGTGTGACGGGAGTATAAGGAAATGAAATGCAATCATCTAATTGATGACCTTATTAAGGAAGGCTACAATACCCAGCTTTATTGTATTGAAGTAGGTAGTCGTGGGTTGATCTCACCAGACAATGAAAAGCGGTGACAGTCTGTTTTTCAGGCCAGTAAAAGGCAAAGTCAAAACTTAAAGGAACAGCTTAGCCGGATTTCCCTCCTTTCCAGATATACTATCTGGAATGCACGATACAACGGTGTCTGGGAAAATTGCCCTTATTTGTAATCCTTTTTAAGGTACTCTATTCTCGAAACCATTTTTATTCAAAGTCAAAACAATTCTTACTGCATTTTACCATTTTAGGATTTTCCTTACTGACCTGTCGACATTTTGCTCACGAAAATTTTATGAATTGTACCTTTTATCCAAAATTTATCTGTGACATTTTACCGAACTTATGATTTTTTTAGTAATTTTTGTTTAGTACATGTATGGTTTATATTTGTCTTTCTCGTTGTGTGTGTACCCTGCATGTGTTTTAGACTCTAAAACCGTGTCCTGGGTTTTGTGTACATTTTTGATGAAATAAAAAATGATTTACTAACATACTCCTTTTAGCGCACTGTCCACAGCAAATGTCAATGGTGCTTGCTCATCCGTGACTAAAGAGATGCAAATAAGGTTGCAATGAAAAGGTAATGAACTACCCTTTAAGATGGAGCCATTTTAACATTCCTCAAGTTTATAACTTTTAGATATTAGCTCATTTGTTTTGTATACACCATGCATAGGCCAACTTGAAAGCAACGGGCCGGATGACATGACTAGCCTGCACCTCCTGGATCGTCGTCATCGTCGTACGATTGTCGCTTTTATCTTTGTGATCTTCGTATCGTGGTTATACTCAAAATCATCGTCGTAATGTATCACGTACGTTTCACTCCCTTGTAATATGCGATATTTATAATTTATCTACAGGGTCACCCCTTCCCCCCAAATACAACCCTAAAAGATGAAAATGCTGAAAAAGTCATGTAAACAGCACATTCGGTTTCTGAGAAAAGACAACTCATTTTCGGTCCATTACCAAGGTAAAGGGATTGACAGTGTAACTATTTGTGCATGAAACGCATGTAGCGCATTGTGTCCTAATCCTTGCATACAACACGACAAATAAAGAAGAGTACAAAGGAATTTGATGGAAATACCTAATTTTTTTTCCACCTGAAAGGGTAACTTATCCATTTAGTCCCATTTGAAACCTTTTCAGCATTATAAATATGTCAAAATATTAAAGAAACTGTACAAATAAAAGACAATTGCACAGTGGGCTCACGGTAACATGTTTCACTGTTTGAAGCACCATTGGAAAGGATGAACAATCACTTCTTTTACATAATTGGCATTTTCTCGGCAACCCAATGTTCTGTGATGTTTTCATTATTTGAAAGGAAACAAACTCAGCCTTAATGTGATATCCCAAAACATCAAAATTGACAGATCGCGTTTTAAAAAAAGGCAAATGTTTCAGGGTTGCATTTCTTGAGGTTCACCTGCATAGGTGTGGCGGGAGCTTGACTGCGCCCTCGGATATCGGGCCTATACCAGACACTTCATCTTGCTAGATACCAAGTTTAACCGTTTTTTAGCAGCAGTCGTAATTTAAAGAAATATTTACTTTAAATGTATGTTTTGTATTAAGCAGAAAACAAAATAAATGTTAACATTTATTCCACAAATACATGTATACAGTGATTGAACTAAATCAGAACTAAATAATAACAACGGCTCCCAAATTAAGTGGTCTATGACCGATACAGCACAAATATATCTTTTTGAGTCGCATCATCGGTGCAAAATCGGCAGCCCTCATTGCGTATGTAAATAACCTTAGGAGTCGCGCATGCGCAACTAAAAGTAGGGCTGAAACGGTGCGTGGTATGTCAACATTGTCGTCATCGTCGCAATGAACGTCGTACTGTTGTTATAATCGCCAACCACTATTTTATAAGTGATGAGTTTTTGACACTCTTGAGCGAACTCTCTGCCAAACATCTGGTACTTACCATTTCACAATCCACCCCCAGCACAATCAGTGACAGCATGGCTAAAATGGAAGAAATCATCAGAATCAGGCTTGCAGAATACTGTGCAAACTCATTGATATGATAATCCGCACAGATATATCAATAGTCCAGTACGGATTGACATGAACACAATTTCCCAACTTAACATTTTAGTTAACATCCACCCACACCAAAGCTTGACATGATTGCCAGGGGGGCATACCTTTATGTTCCCCAGTCTCCAACCCTAACCGTAAGCCTAACCCTAACCCTTACCCTAACCCTGAGTACTGGGTAGCACAGGGATTGGCGAACATAAGGACTTGGGAGTATCGGGTGGACCCCGTTGCCATGATATTCAAGCACTTAAATGCACCCGAAATGCCCCATGGCCCATGTACTCATGTCTCAGTAGAAACAATGCTTAGCCAATACATGCTTAGCATAAGTTGGTCGGATTCCAATATGGGCAGTAGAGCATTGCAGCTTCATCAATACACATGCAATAATGTATGATGTTGTTGCTTGTAATTAACACTAGCGGGATGCCGCGCTTCGCGCGGCACCCGCTAGATGGGTGGAGTTGACTGTTTCGTAATAATTACTGTATACAATGAAATCTCGATAATTTAAACTCCAATAACTCCAAACAACTGTTAAGTCAAATAAAGAATCAGACCCTCTGCTGCACGCGAGCCTATTTGGACTCGCCATTAGTCTCGCCCAAGTTGTATTTGCGTTTAGCAACGTGCGCGCACATAACATTTCCTGCGGAGATTGTGCGAGGGTCCAGGACATATTGTCAATATAGGGGAAGGGGCTAGCTAGGGTGAAGGGTGCTAGTTGGAACGCCCAATTTCCGTAAAACCCGTCAACCGTGTCACCAATATTTCCGGGATGGGGGAGAAATATTTCCAGGGATGGGGAGAAATGGTTTTTGTTATAGAGGGGAGATGGTGACATTGAAATTGTTGATATTGTGGGGGTTTATGTTTGTGCTGGGATTCATACCATTTAAATGTTGTTTTAAATTGCGGGCCAATTAGGAAGGTCTTGCTGTCAACAGTTGAATGAAATTAAGTATTTATTGCCGACCGATTGTCTTATGCGATGTCTCATTATATAAAGCTCATAAATAATGTTGTGCTAGAATATTGTCCAGTCAATTTGAATATTGAATTTTCAAGGTGCCAAACCATTAAGGACGTATACACCAACTGTACAAATAGGTAATTTAGATGAAACGCGGTTTGATCTTGGCCTATACAACGTCGTATCCATCGTTCTCACTACAGAGGAGAGAAGGGGGCAGCCAGTGGGGGTGGGGGTTGAATATTGTGTGGGCGTCGCCAGGATTTTTTCTAGAGGGGGTAAAACATATTTTTGCCCAAAAAATGCCTGTTTTTCTCAACACATTCTCGATTTATCAGTTTCAGAGGGGGGCAGGGACATTTTGCCCCCCCCAACCCATTAAATTCACACCACTATGACTTCACGCCCCCCCCTTTTTTTTTGCTTTTATGGAGTGCCCCCCCCCCCCCCCCCCTTCGCGACGCCCATGCCTATTTATGTTACACCTGTGAATGGTCACTTATATTTCCGGGGAAGTGGGCAACAATTTATATTTGTTATGGTGAAGGGGGTGTTTCTTATTAAAGTAGAAGTTAATGTCATTATAGCAGTTGGTGTTTTTATTATGGTGATGGGGTTGTACAGCAAAGTATTGTAACACGTTTATTTGCAGAAGAGAGTAAAACTAAAAGAAAGGACATATTGGAGCACTTCATAATTATGTCAAGCATCACATGTTAAATGTATTTATTATAAAACTGTGAAAATGAAATCAGGTATACACGAATTTTTTTTAGTAATAATGTATTTGCATTCATTACTGTACAGGGTAGTACTTCGACAAAACTCAGGGATATAATTGTAGTCAGTTTTCGGAGCAATTTTCGCAAGGGACGTCGGTCCAGGCTTGTTAACCATAGGCACAAACATTCCATGAAAGACTTTCAAGCAAGACGGCCAAAGGTTATTATGCAAATGCAGTTTTTTGTGTTAAAAGCTGTAATCATAAATAATGACAGTGGCATTGTAAGTTACAGGACAACATTTTTTTAATGAGTGTTGGTGAAAACTCATGAGAAATGGAGGGGTATGCGAGTATGAATATTTCGTTGTGAAATTTTAAGAGTGATTATGTAATTTGGTAATCAAAGACATTGTTTTGTTATCAAATAAGTTTGCCAGGATCGACACAGTCTGCTTGGCCAGTAATTATCGGGTAATCATTCCATCATTATTCATGGGTACAACTAAGCCAAGGATATATTTAAAAAAAGGATGACATAAAACAGCAGAAAAGAGTGATTTTTTTCATGACTTCTAAAAATAAAATTATGGCTAGAAAGGAAAATGTGTTTTGAATGGGTAAAGAGAAAAAGCAGGAATCTTGCAGTTGAACTGGAAAGAATAGGTGTGTCACGTCTTCGTCTTGAGTTGAGATTCTTGCTTTGGGAACTGGTTGAAGCATGCACTGGAGCATGCTTGGAGCATGGTTGGAGCTGGTCATGTGATGTGGGTGTCATCGGGAGTCCTGTGTAAAGGAGTTAGAAAGAAAAGAATAACGACTAAGGTGAAGAAAACTTGTAAAACAAATACATCGGCTAACAATAGCTACAAAAAATTAGACAGGTGTTGCAATACCCCATTTATGCGGAATGCACTACTGAAGTACTAACCAAACATGCCAAACAACGAAACATGTCTTATATGTTGTATTTTAGTG